AAGCCCCTCACCCCCCCCCCCCCCCCCCTCCCACGATCGGACGAGGAGACATCAACTTATGCATCTCGGGTCTTCATGGGATGCTGGGTGTTGATCCAGGTCCCTTCACATCCATGAGGAAACCCAAAGGTGGCGTTATTCGTGGCAGTGGTGGCGTTGGAGGTGGCAATCGCAAGGATTCTGTAGGCGCTGTTGGGAGCCCCGGCGTTGACCACGTGGGCTACTTGCAGCTGGGGGGGACCTATGCGCGTCTGGGCCAATCATGGAATACAGCACGGCAGCAGTAGTAGCAGGTGACATCGCCGCACAAGACGAGAGCCGGCAGCAACAGGCCCAACGGGTCCCACAGCGGAGGAGGCGACGGCGGCGTCGGCGGCGTCGGTGGCGTCGGTGGCGGGGCCGCACTCTCGTGAAGCCGGGAATTCATCTGTTTTCGCTGGCCAGGGCAGTCCTACTCGAACAGGTGTGACAAGGGATGTCTTCTAGGAGAGCCTGCGATTACTTCGAAGTATATGCGAGGTCGAACTCCCGAAAAAGGACGCATGCGAAACTGCTGGATACTTGGGTAGTTGGTGTAACGAATACCCACAGAGATTTCCGACAAACCGAACTTACGCTTACTCGAGCGAAACATGTACGTGTGACAGGCCCTTCCCCCGTAGGCGATTGCCTCGTATTTTTGTGTTTGATCTTGGTGATTATAATGAAAGTAGAGTGGAAAAAAAAGTAGTGTATCTAAATCTCGAACAAGACTGCCTACGAGGGAAGGGCCTAACGTGCGGACCAGGCCCTCGTTTCTCGTTGAGCGTTCAGCGGAAGCATTGATCATCTTCCAAATATTTATCACAATATCTCCCTCTTCCTATTTGCACCCTTCCTCTCCATCCTTCCACTCCCTGCCACATCCATTAGACACAGCAAGGAATATCGGTGGACAATGCCCCGCTAACGAGTACGGTACCGCGTAAGGATGCATTGATTTTCGGTCAGATAATACGATTTTCGGTCAATTATCACGATGATTGCGCGAGCAATCCTATGGTACCTCACGCCAAATCACATAAGAAACCTTCCTAAGGAACACGTCTACCCCTACAGAAATGTTTCCAACATAGAGTGTAAAATGCCTTCAGTATTCCGGTCAGGAAAGCTCTCGTTATATACCTGAGGCGTTTGGTTCGACAGAGAGACGAATCGCCGGCAGGTTGGGGCGGGAAACCTTGGAGAGGTGAGCGATCGAGTAGAAGAAAACATGCGGGTAGCCAGGTGGCGGCGACGGAGGCCCTTGCCGCATCTGTATTTGGTGGACTTCCAACGAGGGAGCAATTGACACATGTAAACGCCCCAACAAAAAAAAATAAAAGTCGTACAACTGGTTTATCTACAAACTCGCTAGGACGAAGCTCACCTCCTGAACGGCCGGTTCTGTAATTGCTGGTCAGGGCCCGTTAAGGCCCACACAAGAACTTCACGCTGTCCATGATGAAGCTCTCGCAAGCCGGAAAGTACATGTTAACGAACTTCTCGAAGGGCGCGCGATCAGCGGCCTTGATGGCAACGAGGACCGCCGCCCTCACCTTTTTGTCGTCATCAGCCCAGGCCTCACGCTTCTTCATCCTCAACACATCAAGAACCTTTGCGAATACCAATGGGCTGCAGTCTTTGATCACCCGGCGCCCGTGCGCGTCTTTCTCCTTGTCGGTGACGGGCCATTTGGCCTCGTCGAATCGAGCGGCCAGGGCTGATTCAGGGCATGCTTGGAGAGTTGAAAGCAGAGTCGTCATCCTCTCGGTCTTTCTAGGCCCACGAACACTGAGTTCGACGACGCGATCTTCGACACCGGCAGCAATGTTCGGGCCGTACACCGCTGCCAAGGCTTCGACGGAAGCTGCCGCGATGGTATTCGCTTTGACAAGCTCACGTTGAGCCGTGTGCAGTGCTGCCCGTTCGTCTCTCAGCGACCCGGCGATGGACATACCGAACCTGTACACATCGTTTTCGTGCTCCTCTGCCGACATATCACTACATTTAAAATACGCTGCGCAGTCGATGAGACCGGTGACAGTCAGCGAGGTAGGTAGCACTCGAAACACCTCGATGTCCACGACCTCCCTCCCCATGTGGTAGAGAAAAGGATGTTCAGTCGGGATGTCGTATATGCCGCAATGGACCGTAAACATCCTATGCAGACACATGACCCAATCCACCGGACCTTCGGTCCTACCGTCGACTACCTGACCGGTATAGCCTACCTTGGGACCCCATTTGGAGGGTTGAACGGCGTCTGATCCTTCGTTTCCGTCCTTTAGCATGAACAAGAACGATCCAGGTGAGGGCAGAACAGGGCTAAATTCCGGACTTGCTGTCCATGGAACGACGGAAAACCTCCCAACGACGCTATCGCTGTTGTTAGCGCCTTGAGCCTCCACACAAAACAAGGAGATCGTCGAGGGACTGTCATCCCCGCACCGGGCATGGAACGCGTGATCAGACCAGCTATCTCGCGATGCGCGGTCGGCCTGCCAGGACACCATCCCTGCATAATAGCAGTCAGCGGCCCGATTTCATGGGGTTGGAGTATGGTGCTTCCTCCAGTGACCATCATACCGGGTTGCAGCCCCAGCCCAAGAGCACTGGCTACATAACCAATATACGGCTTCTCGTCGTCGGGCAAGTTGTTGCTTCCGGACCTCTTTGATGATGCACCATCACTGAGAATTTCCTCAACGCAAACGGGAGACTCATCCAGCACAATGCGGCCATCTTCAGGACTCGGAAGACGCTTGTCCCACACCCCCCCTTTGAACAGGTCTCCTAGCGTCCAACTTGATGATGATGCTACAACTTTCTCCCTGAGTACAGACCAAGCAATGTTCACGTCCAGCCCACCAACATCCAATCTCACGATGCTTGGGTGGAAAGATGACACCGTGGACATTCCGGTCTCGTTCATTTTGAACTCGAGGGCTTCCCAGCCGGAATCCAGCTTGTCCCACTCTTTCTTCGTCTCTTTCGCCCGATCTTCAAGAAGTTCTTCCAGTTCCTGAGCGTGTGTCTTTGTTGCCGTCAAAAAGCACTCATGTTCATTGGGATGGTGGCGAAACATCGTTGGCTGGGCACTGGATCACAGGCGAGGCGGAACAACCCGAAATGTTTCCTGCTTGAAATCCTGCGAGAATCTCGTAGCGGAACGTGCAAGGCGGTACACCATAACGGGTGCTGCTATTGGACAGTGCGAGATAGCCGTGTCAAAAGGGCGGCATGATCGAGAAACATGATTTTTGAGACAGCAGGTCATAGAACTACGGAGGAGGATGAACATGTTCTTTTGGCACAGTAGGTTGTAGACCTGCGGAAGGAGGAAAAGGATCGATTCCTGAATGTGAGCATGGAGAGCCTTAAACACAAACAACCCTCGGTTTTGGTTTTCCACGATGCTTCGAGAGCCGTTTCAGCAACCCACACTGATGCTTGGTATCTTGGCATCGAAACAGCGGTAGAGGTTCCATGCAGCGACACCAACAGCAAGGATGGCAGCACGAGCAGTTGCAGAGCGCAGGGACGGAGATCCCAAGATTCTCCATCACAAGAAGAGGGGTCGACTGATACTACAGGGGTAGCATCGATATCGGGAGCGGGGGGTGGGGATATGCAGCCCGTGACGATGTTGGGGCCGAAGGTGGGAATTTGAGGAAAAGTGGCATGTGCGAAATATTGGGCAAGCCTACAATGTACAATCGTTGGATCACGGTCGGTCCCAGTCGAGGACACGCATGCATAACTCAAGCAGTAAACGGGGGACTGGCAGGGAAATTGGCGTGTCGACGAAGTGACCGAAAAATACAAATTCGTGGCAAACGTCGGCAAACGAAAGGCTAGGCGCGGGGCGGTCCATGTCGAAACGGGGGGTGACGTTAGTTGAGTTTCGGCCTCAGTGTTGTCAAAACTGTTCTCGTAAGCGTCGTTGAAGCTTTTCAGGGTGAAGTTGAGGCAGTCACGACCACAAGCACCGGTGGATGTTGGGTGGAGAGGCGTGTTTGGTGGTTTGTCCTGAACCACCTTTGTAGAAACTTCGATCGAGTGTTTCAATTGGGAACAGAGGAGACGGAGGGCGTAAGAAAGCCATGACACAATTCCATCAGGGTTTTTTTATGGTTGAGAAATGCAAGCGGTATTTTTTTCACCCGGGCGGGGGGCATACTCGCGGCCAAGGCCAAATAGCTGCGAGAAGTGCGGGATGATAACCTGCAGAATATACTTCACTGTTGAGACAGGGGCAGTATGAACAAGTCGGGGGTAAAAGGGCCGGGGGTCGGTGCGAATATTGATATTATGATTCGCCCTGTGCTTGGAAATATTTCAGTACGGGAGGACAACTACGATAGCTACGGGAGGTTCAAAGGACGTTATCTGGAAAGCTGGTGATCGGGAAAGCATGGCACACCTCCGTTCATCAGCTGGGGGTGGAAGGCGTGAAAATTGGTGTTGGGACCGGAGAGAACCAGGACGGTCTATGGGTGATGTCTGGGTAACGGGTGGGGGTCAAACAGCGTTGCGCGCCGCCGCGTTGGGGAAAAGCTATTGATGCAGCTGACCACGAATTCGTTGGAGTGTGAGGTATCGACGTAGCGTGAGAGTTAGTTCTAGGAGAGGTGGGGGCACATGAATCCATCTCCCCCCGGAAGTAATGGGGCCCCCGCCAAAGAACCTTTTATTTTCTTCTATTTTTCTCTTTTTCTCTTTTTCTCTCTTTTTCTGTGCCAGATGGCCTTGTTTCTGCTTGCGTTGGTAAGTACCAAGATTGAACCAATCGGGTGTACCTCATTCTCTCCGGCCCGTGATGGTGACCCCTAGTCTCAGTTGTTACCTCGCATAGTACGCAGAGGGAGTGGAGGACTGACTCCAGAATATCTGTCGTTGATTTCTATTGACTTGCGGACCCCTCGGGGCCATATTTGAGTGTACCTTTTTAGGGTATGTTTNTCTCCGGCCCGTGATGGTGACCCCTAGTCTCAGTTGTTACCTCGCATAGTACGCAGAGGGAGTGGAGGACTGACTCCAGAATATCTGTCGTTGATTTCTATTGACTTGCGGACCCCTCGGGGCCATATTTGAGTGTACCTTTTTAGGGTATGTTTGCCTGCGACCACGGGAATCGACCGCGTCGAGCGTTGTATCAGTACGGACATACGAAGGTACTGGGTAGAGAGAGATCGGAACGGTTTCTGATGCGAAGACAACAACAACAACAACAACAACAACAACAAAGAATGCATGAAAAGGGCGTTCTTCTCCTGGTTATCGCAAGAATGTCGGAAAATGCCTACCTCGGCGAGAGTTGAATTCCAGGGCCTAGCGACTGCACTTTGTTTTGAGATTCCGAAGGAAATGGCTGGATATCAACGGAGATGTCCATGTTCCGTGACACACGTCATCCATTATTGCAGAATTTTCACAAATCCCCACGACTGACCGCGACAAAACACACTGTCAAGCAATCCCATTGGCAGCATGACGAAGGAATGACAGGTACGGGTTCAGTATGTTGCCGCAGCAGGGGTCTCCTTATCCTGAGTTCCTCTATGTGTTTCGCGAAAAGTTTGACGGAGTCTTCGTACGCATCAGGTACCGTGAACCAAGGGAAGGGCTGCAGGAAAGTGCGTCTCCGGCTTTGGGATAATCTAGGCTGTAGAGTGAGACACAACCAGAACTCGGTTCGTTCATGCTCGCGTCGAAAATCTAGCAGAAGAGTGCTGGCCAAATTGACCATCCGACGTGCCCATCGTTGCTGCTAGCGATGACGCCGCCGCCGCCGACGTCGCTCTAGTTGGCTGCTCATTTTCCCGGGGCATATTCGTTCTTACTCTGTTGATGCCCCGTGGACAGAGGAAACATGGAGCATAGTCTCGAAGATTTTGCATGGGAGGGCGTCGAGGAACTAGGGGTCGGTCTCCCCAGGACGACTGCAAACGCTAGCCTGAATCAGGCACGGGCTCAGAGCTTCACGTCTTGAAGGTCTCGGCGATGTGCTTTCACACGAAACTACACAATACGCTCTTCTTCTAAAATGGTCTCAAGACTCCGATTGCCCCGGAGAACTTCTCGCCAGAATAAAGGAGTACATGACAAACTCATTCTACGTACGAACAAGGAAGGTGTGGACATTGGCCGTGGTAGTCACAGTGTAGGAAGGTTCTACGGAGATCTTGGGGACTCCGTGTGTGAAGATATCACAGGGGCCATACCCTGTGTGTGAGGATTGTGTGGACTCTCCGTCTTGTGTTCCACTCCTCCTATCTTGTGATCGATGATATAATACAAGTGAAGAAACAAACATCACCAGCCCCTTGGGGGAAAGGAGTCCTGGTGGCTCGAGGACAACTCCCACTGTCCATAATAAAATTTTATTAAGTTAGTTGGCAGAGGATCGAAGCTCCTCGTGGTGGATTTCTGGAAGCAGTGACAGTTACGCCGATACGACAACAAGCCGTCGAACGAGGACGGGCTTGGTGTGGCGAACACGANCGCACGCACTTTTTTTCCTGCATCGGCCCCTATATTGCGCTGAGCCCTCTCAGGCAAGATTAGAAATCTCGCTTCGCTCGAATAAATTTAAAACAAACTGGTGTTTTTTTCACCGAACGCGCACGGCACAGCACACACAACGCGCAGGCTGGCTCAGTCGACAAACACGGCATCCCGGATGGGGTGGGTGCGCCAGGCGAGAAGAGACGCAGAGGTGTGCTTAAGGGAGGTGAGAGATTGCCCCCGCCCGCCGGTGCACAGCCGTAAAAGGTAGACTGCAAGAGACACTGGCCGACCTTGCTTGACCGAGAAAAACCCGAGTAAAAATTCGTATCAAAAAGGCAAGAGTTCTCCATCTACCCTCCCCCTTATGCGACACCACAAAGAGCTCTTCTCTCCCCACTGTAAACCATCCATTTTTCGGGAGCGCCCATGGCCGTTTTGCCCCACGGCCCAGAACAAGTAAACAATTCGTATCGAAAGATCTATTCATCTCTCCCCCCCCCC